ACTTCTATTCAGAAAAGACATTCAAGATGGAAAACTATAAATTATAAGATGGGAGAAGATATTTGTAGCATATAACTAATTTAAAAATATAAAATAACATACGAAGAACTATAAACCAGTAAGAAAACCATTTAACCAACAAAGATAACCAATTAAGATTGAACAAAATACATAGAGGACTTTATTAAATGGCCAATAAGCACACAACAATGCTATTAATATTAATGGTCACCTGTCTCCAGAAAGGACAACATTAAAAAGACTGATAATACTAAGTGTTGGGAATGCAGAGGCAGAATTGCAATCCAAGTATACCACAGGCAAAATGTAACTTGATATAATTTTGTAAAAACTAATTGGTATAATTAACTAAAGCTGAATATTTGAAAACCCTTTGATCTAACAATTCCACTGCCAGTGAGGAAGCAGCGAATGGAGTTTGCTTTACTGTTAAAGCTGATAGAGAAACAAGTTGAGACACAACCAAGAAAGAATTGGAAACATAGCATATGCTTGTATATTCCAAATCACTAGACAAACAAAATAAAATCCACACTCCATAATAAACTTCAAGAGGACTAACCACTTAAGATGCAAAATATAGAAATATGAAAATGACAAAGGAAAATATTGAGGAATAGATTTTACTGCAATGGGAAAAGTCTTACTAATCATGATCCAAAGCATAATGACATAAACAAAATATTTGATAGAGCTACCTACTGTGGTGCCTTGAATTAACTTGATATGGTTTTTCTATCCAAAGTCTTTTAATTCCCACCAAGTAATTGGGTAGGATCATGCAAACAAGGTGTACAGGACTCTAAGGCTGGGATTGGTTAGTTTTGCCCTCCAGCTAGATTTAAAAGGAACCATCTCAGAAGCAGAGACAGAAGATCCCAGGACCAACAAGAAGGAAGAGCATGAGCGAGATACAAGATCCCTACTTAGATAATCAGAGACGGCAGAGGTGATGGCAGAGGTGATGGTAGAGGCAATGGAAGCGGTGACATGGAGAGACAGAGCAGCTTTGGGCTCTAGGCCCATGGACCTAGTAAAGCTGAATGCCTACAGGCAGGAGACTGGCTTGCAGAATGTGCCCTTGGGGCATTCACTGACTGGCTAAAAGAACTTTGTAACACTTGCCTGAGCAGGACAGAGGCCAGGAGACCACATGGCTGAGAGGTCAAAGACAAGAGTGAGGGATGCCTGCAGTAAGGCAGACAAGAGGCGTTCCTGTCTGAGGAACAGCTGTGTCCTGAGTTTGTGATCCTGAACTGTACCCTGTTCACTTCTCTAATAAACCCCATAATTGTGAATAGTGTTGTAAGCTCTGTGTGGCCATCACAATGGATTATGGAACCCAGATGTGAAGCAGAGAGTGCTGTGGAAGGATGTTTAGTGTTACAATAGAGTGAAGAAGGGTAGAGGGTGGAGGCATGTCTGACCTTGGCTTCATGGGAATTGGCTTTTGGCTGATTTTGAGTTTATCTTTTCTCCTTGTGAAGTCAGGAGAAGTCAGACATGCTCCCATATGGTTCTAGCACCTACATAAAACATTTTAAAAATCGAAAACTCATATGTGAACATATAAACTGAATTATAAAGGAAAAACACACTAAAAACAAGATACTAGCCACACTTGTAACAAATACAGGGTTAAGATTCTTATTAAATAAACACCTCTTAGAAATTAAAAATATAAAATTCACCAACCCACCCAGAAATGAACAGAACACAAAAACAGACAATTGGCAGGATGATTTATAGTCTATACACTTTTAGTATGTAGTTAATCTCACTTGTGATTACAAGGTAATATAAGTGAGATTTTTTTAACTCACAATATAGTCAAAAATGAAAATTATGGAAAAATTAAATTTATTATCAGCAATAATTTGAGTACTCTGGTAGTGTAGTGGTTACAAATCGGGCTGCAAAGCTTAAGGTCAGCAGTTTGAAACTACCAGCTGTTCCATGGGAGAAAGATGAGGCTTTCTGCTCCTGTCAAGATTTACAGCCTCAGAAACCCTGTACAGGGTCACTATGAGTCGGTTCTAACTCCACGGCACATAACAACCACCACCACCATAAACAATGGTCCAGACAGTGAAATGGACACTGCCACGTCCATACGTACAGCTAGAACACAATGCATGACTATTTACAGTGTCTATGCTAAGTCCTGCAGGATAGTGCACTGGACTGCAAGGCCTGCTTGAATCACAAGATCACAGGCTCAAAGTCATCAGTTGCTCCTTGGAAATATTATAAAGGGTTGCTATGAGTAAGAACAGACCCAACAGCACCTAACAACAACAATTTCTGATACAGTAGCCCTAAGAAACTGAGAGCACTTACTGAGTAGCCATGGTCTTTCTCAAATGTGAAAGGATGATGATAATACCTACCATTCCTCCCTCCAAAACCCTGGTGATGTGAAATGGAATTCATGTCCACCACACTGGCCCCCAAAAGTTAAGTGGACAGAAGAAGGGCCTATAAAGGAGACAGAGACTTGTAGAATGCAATAATGTAGGGAACCCATAATAAGCAAAATTTGAGCTCCTTCTTGACCCACACACCACTTCTTAGCAATGAAACCCAGATGAATGGCAAAGGGAATAGCTGACATTCATTGCCAGAATTACCATTGTATCAGCCAGACCTCATATCTTATTCTCGAGAACATATAGGTAGGCTTCATACCAGTCAGTGAAACTTAGGGACAAATGAAAGAAACTGGGGAAGCCACTTACATTGATTGTAGTCAATTGTGAAGTAAATAAATGATTAAACATTATTTGAGAGTTTGCCCCTTTTATCCTCCTCATCTACACCCTTCCTTCTCATCAGTAAAGGTATGGGTTTCTATAAGTTGATTTCAGGATGGTGACAAATTCCACAGGAGAAACCAACCAATTGATGGACATTAGGTGGGTTTAAGGAGCCTTGGTGGCACGGTGGCTAGGTGCCTGGCTGCTAACCAAAAGTTCAGTGGTTCAAACCTACCAACTGCTCATGGAAGAAAGATGGGACCATCTGTTTCTGTAAAGACTGCAGCCTTGGAAATGCTATGGGGCAGTTCTACTTGTGCTACAGGGTCAGTAAGAGTCAGAAATGATTCCATGGCAGTGTGTTTAAAGTGAGTTATGTTTCTATTCGTATCACATCTTCTCATTTTAAGGAGTTTGTTGTTGCTGTTATGTGCCGTGGAGTCGGTTCCAACTCATAGTGACCCTGCACAGGGTTTCCGAGGCTGTAAATATTTACGGGAGCAGACAGCCTCATCTTTTTCCCGCAGAACCACTAGTAGTTTCAAACTGCCGACCTTGAGGTTAGCAGCCCGACTCGTAACCACTACGCTACCAGAGCTCCTTAGAGGACTGCATTCCATGTTTCTTTCTATGGTTAGGCATAATGGAGGGTTTTATAAAATGTATTAAGGTCATTATATTACTATCGTAAACCTACCTTAAAATGAGTTTTGAGTATCCTCCAAGAGTCCAGTTATAAATGCAAGGAGTCATTGATTCATATGTGGTCCACAGAAAAAGCATAGCCTTGGATACATTTTTGATATAATAACTCATTTTCATTATTTTTCTTTTTAAATTAATTCACAGTAAAGAGAACAATATAAATGTTGTTTCATATCTTTACTCTTTCAGTAATGTGCAACATGAACATAATAGTGTTTAAGAAGAAGGGGGAATAACTTAACACAGTAGCTATAGAAGACTTTCTAAATTTGCAAAATTTCAACAATTATCTTCCTGAAATTCCCCCCAAATTATCATATTTGTTAACCAAATTAATTCAGAAGCTTTTCAAAATAAAAGCAATGCTTTAAATAAATATATTCTTTCAAAACCATAGAACATTTAGTTCTGTTGGAGATAACAAACATATTACAGTAAAGTAGTATATGAAGACATTGGGGTGTAAATTACCTAGATGCAATTATAAATGTACCCTAATTAGTCTTTTTCCCCCTTTTTATGTGTTTTCCGGCACATGTTAAAATTATAGATGTTAATCAAATCATTTTTAAATCATCACAAAGATATTATTTATATTATTTGACCCACACAATTTATCTCTGCTCAACATGATACAGTATTTTTGGACACTACCTTTGAATATAAATTTAGTACCTTACGTTAGATATAATCAATATCTAGACTTCTTAGATGCCCTTGTTTGTTATAGAAAATGAATGCTAGACTCTCTATTTAGACCTACAAATTCCAGGTCAGAAATTTCACAACTGAATGTTATTGTCGTATCAGAATCCCAATTAAAACACAACTCCCACTGTGTTTCAGAGTACCACATAGGTATGTATAAATTCAGCTTTCTACTGAAATCTTATTTGTTAGTAAACTACTATAGAAAATTTCCTTTCCAAAAATTGATTTTATTTAGCAAATACTTTAAACAATTCACTAGCTGAAGAAATGACTACTGGTATTTCCAGAAATTCTGAATGCTTGTGCATGTTTCATTTATTTATACTTCTACTGTGATTCTTAAGAATTTTTCCAATCTATATTGCAACTTATGAAAATATCTAGGCATGGGTAAATCTGGTTTCCTTCAATAGCAACCAACATTAAGATCTCTAAATTAAATAACAAAGAGAAGTAAAACTAAACACAGCAACAGGTTACAGTAAGTGCTCTTTAGAATTTCAAAGAAACAGGTTTGTCCCAAAACAAAAAGGAATAACTTACTAATTGAAAAATGAAAACACAGAGTAGATTTTATAGGATGTCACACACACCCAGGCATAAGTGTGTATACACCTCAGATTTTAAAACACTGCTGTTAAATTTTAACTTAGATAAATTAACTGCATTAAAATACTGACATTGTGAAAATATCTGTTTATGTCCATCACCCCATACAGGGCAGACTTTTGTGAACTTCTCAAAGCTGAAAGAGGCGGGCAGGGGAAGAAAAAGAAAGGGAAAATAGAGTCCTTGACAGAAAGCTTGGGTGAACTATTGAGGACTCCCAGGCTCACAGCTTCCCTTTCTCCTCCCCACTCTCCTTCTCTTCTATTGCTTCCAGGCTGCGCTTGCTCTTGGCATCTGCACCGCTGGTGGTGGTTTTACTCAATCCACAGGACAAGCATGCCAGCTGGATCTGCTTCATGTTTTCTATAGCTTCATTCTTGGCATTCTTCAACAGATCTCCTTGGCCCTGCAGATAGGTAGAAACATCCATCAAAGAAGAATGTTATGGCCAGGCATATCCTGAATGTTACATGAATGAGGCAAGAGAACCAGATTCTCTGTGTCAGTGTTCAACCCGGCATCACTGAGGAACTTTTCCTCAACATGAGCCTTTCTTACCTGTCCTGAGGTTGTCAACAGCCCCTTCGATTAAGTCACTGTTAGCAGAGAACTCCCAGGGCCAGGGTCTGAGACTCTATACAATACTACAACTTCCCCTTCTCCTCGCAGAGGCCCAGCATCCCTGGTTGTTCTTAAGTGCCGTGTTGAGTCGATTCTGACTCATAGCAACCCTGTATAGGGTTTCCAAGGAGCAGCTAGTGGGTTTGAACTGCTGACCTTGTGGTTCGCAGTCCAGTGCTGATCCATGGATGGAGGTAAACAAGGACAACAGCTCTTCCTTAATGAACTGAAAATTAGATCAACCCCCTGTGTACAAGCGCTGACAAAACAAACTATCTTCTGTAAAGTAAGTCACACATCCTTCTGAGCTTGCGTTTAATATATTGGGTTAGTCTTGCTATTTGCCTTTTGATACATGATTAGTCACCCACAATCCTTCTGCCTTTCTTGGAGACAATGCTCCCATCTGGCTGTGACAAAAGAGAATCTCCAGAGACTCAAGATGTCAATCAAAGCAAAAGGCAAAAAGAAGATCACAGAAACATATTAGCTGTCCGTGCAATCCATTTTAGTTCATCATTAAAACATATACTTTCATGTTGACTGGCCAGGAACTGCAAGGACTGAGTGTGGGAAAGCTGAATGTGTTTCCAAAGCATATGGACAAAAGAGGAAGCAGCTCTTCCTTTCTCTCTCCTCTCCATTCTCACAGCAGTGCCTGAACGTGGGACCCTGACACTGTGAAGAAGAGTCAGGGAGTTCATTCCCTGATTGTTGGAAAGTTCCTCTACAAAGTTGTTGTTGTTGTTGTTAAGTGACGTTGAGTCTATTCCGATCCATATTGACCCTGTATAGGGTTTCTGAGGAGTGACTAGTGAGCTTGAACCACCAGCGTTGCGGTTCAAACCAACTTTGCAGTCCAGCACATTAACCTACAGTGCCACACCAAGAGATTCCAAAAAATGATAGTTTTACCTACTTTATGCAAAAGAGAGTCAGGAAGATGGGATTTGGCAAGAACATACTTATTCTACTTTTAGCTTTACCACTTTATCCCTGGACCATTTTGTTTTCTTTTACATGATTGAAACATGCCTTTTACCTTCCTCAAAATTCTAACAATTAAAAAAATATGTTGAAGCCCTACAACATTCAATAGACTCCTGTGAACCCAGATGGAGACTTAGTTGGCCAGCACTATGGCAAGACCTGGGGCAGGCTTGCAGAGTATACCCTTTGGTTGGTTGATGATGCATGAAGGGGTTTGTAACCATAGCAATGAAACGATAAATGATAGGATGAATGTAAAGCTAATGTTCTCCCATGTTAACTATCACATAATTCACAATAAAACATTGAAAAAAAATATGTTGAAAGATGTTTGTGATTAAATAATCACAAGTCAGACATGTTACGTTGTTACTGTTGTTAGGTGCCATTGAGTCGGTACATTATAAGGAGGTATAAAAGGCAGCCACCATCATCTACTACTATAACACATGTCTTGGTACTGTGCGTATTTTAATATAAACTTGCCCAATTTTTTAAAATGCATTTAGTTGAGTGTGTATTACAGAGATATGCATTTTTATCTTATTCTTTCAAAGGGAAAAGTTCACTTAAATGCAAAATAATGTGATTATAGCTAACTCCATGGCACTTAATAACATCAACTTTTAATGTTCCTTTTTTCTTTAGTTTTGAAATTTCATCAAGCATTATAAAAGCATACCCAAAGCTTTATTGAAAACACATTTAAAAAAAAAAAAAAATAGCATGTCAGAAGCAAAACTGGCACCTCCCTAACTGGAAGAGAACACTGAAACACACAAAATATCAGGTTTGATACTACCACTGTATAATACTTCTCACATTCCTTTCTCCTACAGCAGGTTATGAAATGCATTTAATTAACCAAACCAAATGTCATTTCATAGGTTACTGAGAGGTGGCATCCAAGCCGAAATACCAGACTCTGCCAGTTCTGGTGAATAGAAGTCAGTCTCTCTAGAAAACAATGACCAATTGGAGAAAACAGTTTGTACCAGTGCACCAGAACACAGCTACATCATCTCCTGATAACCCAGGAGACAACACGTCCTGGCTGCATTCCACAGGCAGGAAAAACAGAAAGAGCAAATGTTAAACTATTAACCAGTTGAGGAAACACAAATTAAAGATTGAGTTATGAAGTGTTTACATGGAAATATCTGTATTATATTTTGCTTTCTGTTTTGTTAAGGAGGAGGACAAGAGATGTCTCTTTCTGCTCTCTGGTTCCAGGAACTGCATAACGTCCCTCCTCCTTGGGTCTTCCCGAAGGAGGCACCAGAGCCAGAAGAGTCATGCTAAGCAAAATTGTAGGGAAGGCAGGGTTTACTGTCAACAGCTCCCATCCTGGTATTGCTTTTTATACTGACTGTTCTTAGTTTTATATGCAGCAATTTCCCCTTACCACCTGGCATTGTCTCTCTACTCTATCGTCCACTAGACTTCCCCTAATTACTAATTAGTTAGCTTACTTCAGACCCTCTCATTCAAAATGGCTCTGTTCTATGAATCACTTCCTCTAGCTAGTATTAGGTATTCAGATCAGCTAAGCCATTTCGTGGTATTAATATGTGACATTACTTAAGGAGTAATTTGACAGGGGGCTTCCTCAAACAGAGGTCTTGGAGGAAGAGGGAGAGAACCCAGAAGAATGCATTTCACTTGGTGGATATAAATTGATACACCTCTTGGATACTAAAATAAACCTGGAATTGTTATGACATGGAATGCAAAATTAATGTACAATTTGAACAGTGAACAATCAACTTCAAAGAAATGTCAAGCTGCTGCCGGCACTTTAATATCTCAGCAAGCCCATGGGAATTTCTAGTTTCTTTCCTCTACTACTAGGGATGCTTCAAGGGGGGCATATGGGTGGGGGGGCGCGGAGGGAATGAGAAGGACTGCTTTAACCCAAAGGAAAATAAAGATACTAGGAGTCATCTCAAACCAACCGATGCTGAAGAGACATAGCCACCAATTCAGTCTCCAGTTATTTGGATACTAAATATAAGATTTCATGGCAATCCCAATACATTTTAAAAGTAATTCATGTAATCATGGAAAACACTGAGAGATTGATATAGAAATTCAGGATATAAAATTTAAAAATTAATGATGATTAATTGATATTTTTTAAAACCACAGACATTAGATACCATTTATCAAATTCAAACTCACCAGCTGCTTTTCAGAAACCCTATACAGACTCTCTATGAGTCAGAACTGACTCAACAGCACTTAACAACAATATGGCGTCCTGAGGAGCCCTGGTAGCATTGCGGATTACAAACTGGGTGGCTAACCGCAAGGTCAGCAGTTCAAATCTACTAAGTTGCTCCACAGGAAAAAAAAAAAATGAGGCTTTCTTCTCCTGTAAAGATTTATAGCCTCAGAAACCCTATAGAGTCAGAATCAACCTGACACCACACCACCACCACTATCACTATATGTAGTTCCGATGTGATGCTGTAGGATAAGCACTAGACTGCTAATCTAAATGTTGATTCTTCAAACCCACCAACCACTTGGAAACCCTATTCAGGGTCACTGTGAGTTGGAACCAATTTGATGGCACTTAAGGAGCTCTGGTAGCGTAGTGGTTACGAATCGGGCTGCGAACCTTAAGGTCAGCGGTTCGAAACTACCAGCCGCTCCGCGGGAGAAAGATGAGGCTTTCTACTCCCGTAAAGATTTACACCCTCGGAAACCCTGTACAGGGTCGCTATGGGTCGGACCCGACTCGATGGCACTTAACAACAACAACAAATAGTAACAACAACTTAATAATAACTGCCACATGGGGTCACTATTGGCTTGATGACATCTAACAACAAAGTAATTACAGACAAAAAATGCTAATACAACACTAACAGTAGCTAACATTTATTGGACATTTAATATAGTAAAAATACCCAAAGCTTGTTTTCATCAGCTGATTCAGCTTAAAACAGTTTGCATATATTATGTCTCAGAATACTATAACCATTAAAGAGACTAGAATTCTCTTTTCAATGAAATGTAGGTTACCCATTATTTATATATTTTATATTCCAAACACATGTATGATTTCTGCTACTCCTAGCCTTAACTAAGAATGCAGCTTCCCCTCAATGTTTGAAAATAGCTTGGGTTACATTCTGACAGAGTAACTTACAAAAGACAGTCATTGCTCCTTCACACCCATTTTTCCCATGAACTGCGCCATTCCTTGTGACATCAGTGCACGGAAAAACAGGAAAACATCATTCGTGTTCTCATCACATGTGAAGGAAGTGTGTGGTTTGTCTCAGAGCACACCACAAATATTTAAAGCAGTTGATAGGGACTCTGGGAATACAGAGACCCTCGCACATACAGAACTACATACATAAACAAATGCAGCACTGTCTCTAGACAGATTAGTGTGGGTGTCTTTGAGCATACACCCAACAGCAGACTGGTCTCCCCAAGAGTCTTTCTTTGTGAGAGTCCACTCACAGCTGTGGAGTCACACACCACACTGCTGCAGGAAAAGGCACCAAGCTGCTATTTGTTGTCTAGTCTATTCCAACTCATAGAGATTCTAGATAAAGAGAACTACCCATAGAGGTTTTCTTTAAGGATGCAGACTGCTACATCTTTATCTCACAGAGCTGTTGTGGGGTTCCAACCATGGGCCTTCTGGTTAGCAGTCCAGTGTTTAACCTCACTGCTTCTGTAAAGCTTTACAACCTTGGAAATCCTATGGGACATTCTATTCTGTTCTAGAGGATCAATATGAATCATATTCAATTTGGCAATGGGTTTGGAATT